GGGAGGGAAGCTTGGCTTCCTCCATCGCCAGGGGCAACCCACACCTCCTGCTCGCTCCAGCTCCGTGGCCACGGCCGGCTGAAAGCAGGTATCTGGGGTTTGTTTATCTTCTATATTGAAACTTTGTTGCTTTGAGTGGAGCTTAGAGCTGCTGCGGCAGGCGGGAAGCTTGGCTTCCTCTATCATTGGGGCAACCAAGCCTCCTGCTTGCTCTAGCTCAGCGGCTGCCGGCCGCCATCTTGGTTGGGTTAATTTGCATATAGTCGCTCTGATTGGCTGGTGGGTGCGGCTTAAGGCGTAGCGAAGGTATGGTCAATTTGCATGTTTGTCTTTTATTTGTGTAGATGTAATTACCAGAATCCTAACCTCACCTTCTGGAGTCACAGCTTGAAATACAAAAACATAAATTTCTAAAGTGTACAGGTTGGAAACCCTAAACTAGAGAAGCAATCTAATCTGGTGCCCTGTGCTCACAGAGTATTATTATGAAAAACTGTAAATTTCACATTAAAAATAAACAATTAGGATTCTCTGGGGGGAAAAAAGAAAAAGTTTGGCAACTTGGCCTAAATTACCAGATGGCAACAATCAGCTAGTGTAAATGCTACTAGCATTTACTAGGTTAGGAGGGCCCAGGAATCCTAATCAGTTATCCTGCTTTCCAACAAATAACTGTCCAGCCAAAAATGCCCATAGGTATACAGCTCTTTGAGAACAAGAAGCTGTTCTTGTAACTCTCCCTTCCAAAGAACACAGCATAATACTTTGGACAAAGCAATGAAGCTTAAGGTTAGATGGGAATTTTGGAAATATAATTCAATGTCGTTTAGGAAAAAGTGATTAAATATTAACCTAACTTGTTCCTTCAGTCCAAGTACTCTTCCCAACATTCCACTTATAAGACAAATAGCATCCTAAAATGTAATCAGAAGCTAAATATGGAAATCTCAGATTTAAGATCAAGTCTGTAAAGAAACAATCAAATTATTACAGCAAAGACATCTATCTATAAAAGATCATTACATCAAGGGCATTGGGGCAGCTGACCTACTGGCATGTAAAGAGTACAAAAAATTCCAGTTTGAGGACAATTTCCACATTAAGAAAGCAGTCTAAGTTAACAGGAAATTATAGCCTAGCCAAATCATGAAACCTACTTTATTAAAGTAGTCTTTCAGAAGTTGTATACATCTGTACCTTTTCTCACTTCTTGCCTCACCCAACACTATCCTCCAGTGACTTCATACTTGGGTTCTTGTCAGGGCAAAAAACCCTCATACCTTTGCACATGCTGCTTCTTTTCGCCACTGGTCAAACTCCCACACATTCTTGAATGCCTTGCTTAAAGTGTCAGTCCTTTACTTTGGCAATTAGGCACCCCACTCGCTGGTGGTGTGTACAGTGCTTAACTCATAGTAGGAACTCTATATATGTTTATAGAACAAAAAGATTAACTAACTGTCCTTATTATGCCCACTTCTTTCTGAAAACCACTCATTTGCATTTGGTTCCTAGAAGCCAGAAACCCCAATTCACAAATTTAAAAATTCTCTAGTATCTAAGTACAGTGTGTGGCACATAATAATTCAATATGCTGGTGGAATAAAAATAATTCACGGGAGTCTTTCAACCCAATCTAATAAAACACCACTAACAGAGGTCCTGTCATTATGTAAATGTCTCAGTCACTATTCAAAACATGTTCAGGATAAATGAAAATTAAGTGAAAAAACTGTAGAGTTAGTATTAATGATGACGTTTCCTCGACTCTCCTGAGTATTCTGACTATAAACAAGAACAGGTACATTTTTATTTATAATGTGCTCACATTACAAAAGTAAGAGCGATTTGTTACATCACTACCGATTTTATGGATTTTGACTGAAATAGTCCTTTAACTGGAGGGTAAAAAAGAAAAATTAAGTGAACTCCTAATACAATCAAAGTATAGCACAAAATTAGTTTCTGATTACCATTCGTTTACCACCAAGGTCTAAAAATGTCTGGCACCTATTATGCCTAGTGTCATAACGAGAGAAAGACTCTCAATTTTGCTTACATACAAGTCCAGACCAATAGCACACATTTTAAAGTTATAATGATATTAACGTACTTCCCAATAAAGATGGAAGTTCAAATGAAGAGATCTTTACTTCGGAGGTACATGTGCTTTTTTTTTTTAAGCTTTCGAACGTGAAAGAAGTGCCTTCGGGGCAAATGTATGCACCTACATAATACAAAGAGGTGGTCAGTTTACGATTCTGAACAGAGAGGCAGATTCAAATGGAAATTTGGGGGTAAAATGGGTCTGAAGCCATTTTGAGAAATAAGGGGGGGGAAAGGACTGGTCTCACGCGGACACGGAAATCCCGCCACGAGGAAGCACTCCCACCCGGGATCCGGTACTTTCCCAAGTCTCTTCCTCGTCACCGAGAAAGCGAAAGACACCGACAGACTAACTGCGGAAAGGGCCGTGAAGACCACTCTCCCGGCATATCCCTCCCCTTCCCATGGCTCCGGGGGGCAGACCCCGGATTCCCTCCCAAACGAAACTCACAGCCAGAACCTTCCACGCTATTGTGTGAAACTAGGCGCGCTTTCTACCACGGGGGGGACCGTGCTCCATCTGAGGAGGAGGACATGCTCACTCCTGAGAGAGAGGAGCGCGTGTGCCGCAGGGGAGGACAGAGAGCCCAGGCCATCCGAGCGCGGCACGCGTTGGGGTTCCCACGGGCTGAGACAGCAAGAACACGAAACCTAAATCTAGCCTCTGACCGGCACCGCCAACGTGGGGAAACGTGAGTCTCCGCACATTTGAGAGCCCGGAAGAGCATGTCTTCCCTCTTCCTCTGCGCCTACAGAAGTAGCGGCCTACTCCGCCAGCGACCAATTACCGTGAGCCGTCGGGATCCCGCCGCGCGGCCCCGGCTTACCTGCCGGGCTCTCTGCAGCGCATCTTTGAAAGCATCGTTAACGCCTCCGCCGCCGCCGCCGCCGCCTCCACCGCCAGCTGAGCCAGAGGAGGGTGGAGGGACTGTTGAATAGTCTGCCATCTCTACCCTACCGTGGCTGCTACCGCTCTCCACACAGACCTTCTCTCAGCCAACTGCTAAGAAAGAAAGAAAATGGCGGCCGCGGAGCCTCTATCACATTCTTGTGCGACCATCGTGCCGTAAAGGGGCGGAGATTGAAAGCAGCAAATCTCGCGATGTTTCTAAGCAAGTAGCTGTGTAGAGGTGGGGTCTAAAAAAAAAAAAGGGACGGGCACGCATGCGGATGTCGCGAGAATTGCGTTTAAGGTTTCGCGAGAATGTGGTTCGTGAGGGCGCCCCGCTCGCGCGTTCCCGTGCTGAGGCTGTGTGGCTGTCCCTTTAGGGAGTAGAGGTCGGCGCGGCGACCGCGGTGGGATCGAGTGTCTGAAAGCCCGAAGAAAAGCTGCTTAACGGCCGCTGCCCGAGGGAGTTAGTGTCGGTGAATTTTACGTTGGGGGTCATTCTGCGTATCCGTAGGCAAGAGGGTGACGTCACGAGCGTCCTGAGGTCACTGCGGCCGGGAGACCGCCAGGGAAGACCGCTCGCTGGTCGCCGCGAGGTGATGCTCCCGAAAACGTCCACCCGGTCTAGCGGGAGCTCGGCATGATTTTCAGGGTAGTAAAGTGCCCCTGTATTTTACTTCTAGATGGTTAGATGTTTTAAGTTTTATCACAAATGGGGGTGAATTCAGGCCGGAGCCCTGTTACCACGTGAGATGCTTTTGGGTAAATAATGCGGATGAGGCTGTGATGATATGACTGCTGTGTTCTCCCCCCTCCTCCTTTTTTACCCTTTAAAAGACGTAAATTGTTCCTAAAACTCAGTTTTAACCAGATTTGGTAACCTAGTCGTCTATGTGTTCATGACCAATTTCATTGAGATCCTTGTAAGTAAGAACAGCATCCTTTTCTTAATCAAAAGTGACTTTGTAGCTTCTTAGAAATAGGTTCCCCCAGCCCCACCTTGTGAGAACGCAGATGGACGGTAATGTTCAGAACTGCCCTTTTCGGACTAGATAATCACTTTTGTCTTTTCTGCTATCTACGCCGGTTACCAAATAATTTCAGATCCTCAGACGTTCCCCCAGTAAAACGGCACGGAGTTTACTGCATGAATGGCAGTCCCAGACTCGGAGGGTGCTGTGGGAGACTGTCACAGGGGCCTCTTCCAGATTCTCTCCTTTTAGATAACGAAGAAGGAGGTAAAATGAACTTTACCAACTTGGGCATTTTGTGTTTTATTAATGAGGTCTATAGAGGATCTTTCCTATCGCTGGTCTTCGAGTGATTGAGAGAAATGCGTGCTGCAGTCTTCTGATACCTAAAACGAATGTGTCCGTTTGCTCAAGGCCCAGAAGAAGACAGAAAACAGATATATATGCACATACATATAAGTGGATTATCATTTTCTTCCCATCTTACCCATTTATAGTTCTGATTATCTTTCCAGCGTTTGTAGCCATCTCTTTAGATTTGGGAGGAATTTTTATTTGGAGAAATAGTGGAGGTATTGGACTGCAGATTAAACCAGCTGGTAGAAAGAAAAATTAAAAGCACTGTTGGGCGGTGTTGCCAAATAGAAGTTTTCTACTTGCATTTTGAGAAAGTGTTCAACAAGTGGCATTTGTTAATCAGTAATTGATTTTTTATATTTTGTTAGACTTATGTACCAATCAGATCTGATCAATGTAGAGTTAACCACAGTGATTTAATTGATCTCTAAACAAATAAACTTTATTTCATGTATACAACAGTTTTACTTGTCCCTAAATAATGAAAAGAAGGAATGCCATTTCTAGGTTTTGGGGTGTTTTGTTGTAGATTCTCCTGGAAATATGGATATTCTGGGATGGGAATCAGTTGGAATCAGTCTAGATCAGGATTTCTCGACCTCAGCACTATAATACTTTTTAGCCAAGTAAGTCTTTGTTTTGCAGTACTACTGTGCATGATAGTATGTTTAGCATTCTTGGCCTCTACCCATAAAGGTCAGTAGCTTATCCCCCACTCCCCCCACCACCCCCCCCAACCAATTGTGACAACTAGAAATGTCTTCAGACAATACAAATGTCCCCTGGGAGGCAAAACCATCCCACATTGAGAACCACTGTTTAGCCTTGATTTCTGCCCCTGCCTGCATCCATCGGGAAGACTTATTAACATACTTCTGAGCTATGTATATTACAAATCCCATTACTTTTCACTTCTACTCCCAAGGTACCATCAGCTCACACCGGGACTGTTACAGAAGCGTTCTGGTGGTTTTTCAGCTTCCACCCTTACACCCGTACGATTTACTTTTAAAAATGGAATTTTGTACAGAAAAGTGTATAATACTCATGTAAAGTCTCAAAGGTAACAAGTACCCATGCATCCACTCTGCAGGAATGTTCTCTAAGGAATAGACTGTTACTGGTACTTTTGAATCTCAAGGGGGTGTTGCTAGAGGATTGTATTACAGTTGTTTCTTCTTTTGGCAGCTTGAAAGATCTCTTTAAAATGAAAATGAGATCATCCCACCTATGTCTCCAATTTCACTTTGACTCCTACCTCCTGGAGTGAGTGGTCTAAGGGCTCTATATAACCAGTCCACTGTCTCTGCACCCTCTTCCCTCTTCCCTCTCCTCCCTCTTACTCCACGTCGGCTGTCTGGTCACCTTGTTGTCCATGATCTTTCCTGCCCCTGGGGCTTTATACTTACGTTTTCCTCTGCCTGGGATGCCTTTGTAGACCTTCACATGGGTGATTTGTCATCCTCATTCGGGCCTTAGTTCAGATGTAACCTCCTTAGAACATCTCTGACCTCTGGTTGTGCTATTCTACAACCACTCTATCCATTACCATGTTCTCTTTATAGCATTTATTTAAAAGTTACCTAAATTTATCTAAAATTAAAGCGTTTATCTAAAATCTTATATTCTGTATGTTTACTTGTTTGTTGTCTCTCTTCCACTTTTATGTATCTACCATTGACTAGGCCCTAAAACCAAGTCTTAGTATTCTAGCTATTTGTTGAATGAACCAATATTGAAAAAAATCTGCCTCTACATTTTAGTTGGTTCTGTGACATTGTGCAAGTGACTTAGACTCTGTGCTCAGATATCTACATAATAAGCATGACCTATTTTGCTATCCTAGAATGAGAAATCTGTGAGCATTTCAGAAGCTGTAAAGTGTTATGCAAATGGAAATTGGTATTATTAAACATATAATTTGGTTTCTGGTGTATCATAAGGACAGGAAAGGATAATGCATGGTACTTTGCATCTGTAAATTTTTTGGATTAAACGGCTATGTTCAAATCTTACAGTAGTTTTGGGAAGGCTATATAACCAGTGACTTTTGACTAGGCTACTTGTGTGTTCGTTCTGAGTCCAGTCAGTCTCAAAGCCATTTGTACTTTGCTGATTATTCTAGATACTTTCATGATAACCGATGAAATCAGACTTTTCTTGACTAAGTTTATTCCCCTTTGCAATACAAATTCTCTTTATTGTGGATGCATCATAGCTGACCTAAAATTAGTTTATTGTGCTTTTTATAAGTTGGCTAATATTCAGCTGAATTATATTATAGTCACACTGTTATCACAGAAATTGGTATCCCATATTTCATCCTCAGAATGAAGCAAAAGTCAGTACTTTTGAGCTTATAGAAGTCTAGCAGGGAGCATTTAGACTTGCCAAATAACAGAATGAAAAGATTAGCAAAGATAATAAAAGTTGGGCTGGTAAATATATTGGTAAGATTCTCCATTTTATCTTCTAATTTATTGATTACCAAATGACAGTGATTCTTGGCACAACTTTTCACTACTGGATTTGCTAAATCTATGTACAGTATTAACATTCTTATTTACAGCTATTGGAGAAAAATCATTCAACATGACTTTTTGTACAGGCACTTTAAGAGAGGCAAAATTTTACAGGCTACTCCCCCACCTTTATACCTATCACCTACCTCCTAACAATTCTTATAGAAGAATCTGATAACTTCATGTTATACTCTGTATCATTTAAACCAGGCCTGTGTTTTCTCAGTGAGCAGTCACAACAGATTCAGGTTAGATAGGAGGAAAGTGGCCACTTTAAATTAAACTAAATACTCCAGAATGTTGTTAGGATATTTGATCATTAAGTTGGTCTTTGGTCTTAATGACTTTTTTATCCCTTCTGATTGAATTTCCAGGATTCTATTTCAGACTAAGGTATGAATGGAAGCAGGAAATATTTACATTTAAAGGACAAAGTTGCTAACACAAATGTAATTTTGGAACATTGTGGAGAATAGCAATTTGACCAGTGTCTGAAACGAATCAGCTCCATAACGTGTAAAGGACTCTGGACTTGGTCCCAGAGGATCTTGATTCAAATCCCACCCATGTACCCTTTGGTAAATCACACAGCTTCTTCCTTTTACCAGCATACCAAAAGGAGGAGGTAATTTAATCTGTTTCTGAAAAGAAGCCAACAGCACTAGTAAAAGATTATAAAAAGTATTATGTTTTACAGGGATTTCTGTTTTCCCTTTCAGAAGTTACCAGAGTATCGTCTCACCCTCAATTATTAGAAAATTCTCTGATTCGGCTGCCAAACTTAATGGTGTGCCCTGATTGAAAGGCTATTAGAGAATTGATGAATACTAGGATATTGCTCATGACCATTGATTTGTCCTAAATTGAGTCTTTTATTCTCCTTGTCATTCCCATCTATACATAAGCAGGGGTGGGGAACCTTTTTTCTGCCAAGGGGCACTTGGATATTTATAACACCATTTGCAGGCAATACAAAATTATTAACTTACAAATCAGCCTGCTATATTTGGCCAAACATTTAATTAATTCACCCCTAATGACTTGGCAGGGCCAGACCAAATGATTTTGTGGGCTTTATACTAAGACTCGTGGGCTGGACGTTCCCTACCCCTGCTGTAGAGCCCCTGAGCCTTTGCACATATTGTTCTCTTTGTCAGAAACATTTCTCACTTCTTGCCTAATACCTCCCCCGCCCTCCCCCCCAGAGAGCCTGTCCAAAACTCTCAAATTTAGAGATTCCTATTTGTTTTCATGTACAATATTATGGTAATAATACCATAATATCATTTATTGTTTATTTAGAATTCCTACTGGATTGTAAGGTTCATGACAGTGAGGGCTTCGCCTTT